TGCACTCCAGCCTGGGTGACAGAGTGAGACTCCAACTCAAAAAAAAAAATACTGTTGAGTTCTTTAACCATGTGTGTCCTCTTCTTCTTGTTTAGTGTTAAAACATAAGTATTAATTGTTTCATTCTAGGGTAACGTGGCACGTTTTAGTGACCCTGTTTCTCTTCTGTTGCTTTCAGGCTGTCCATGACAATCAGATCCTGATTGTTATTGGAGAGACAGGATCTGGGAAGACTACGCAGATCACACAGTACCTGGCAGAGGCAGGCTACACTTCCAGGGGCAAGATAGGGTGTACCCAGCCCAGAAGGGTGGCAGCCATGTCAGTGGCCAAAAGGGTATCAGAGGAGTTTGGTTGCTGCTTGGGCCAAGAGGTAAGTAGATCATGAGGCTGCTCTGGAGATACTGTAAGAGAAGCATAAAGGTCCGATCTTTGTCTATGCATGAAAATACTGAGCCAGGCTTGGTGGCTCAGCCTGTAATCCCAGCACTTTGGGAGGCTGAGGTGAGTGGATTGCCTGGGCCCGCGGGTTTGAGACCCGTCTGGGCAACTTGGAGAGACCTCATCTCTACAATAAGTCAAAAATTAGCCGGGTATGTTAGTGCACGCCTGTAGTTCCAGCTACTTGGAAGGCTGAGGTGGAAGGATCGCTGGAGCCCAGCAGGTCGAGGCTGTGGTGACCGGAAGTGGCCACTGCACTCCAGTCTGGGTGACAGAGTGAGACTCCAACTCGAAAAGAAAAGAAAATACTGTGGCCTTTTTCAGGTTTCTCCTGATGGAGAGAGGGTTCTCGTCAGTGTCAATCTGTTCAGGGTCAAGTCCAAGATATCCCTTACTGTACATCTTGGTCAAATCCTTACCTATGAAGCATATGAGTATCAGTCTGCCTGGGCCGAGATCTGCCTGGCGATTGTGAAAAGGGGGTGTTTGTGTCTTAGGTTTTCGCTTCTGTCCTGCTCTAGGTGGGCTACACTATCCGGTTTGAGGACTGCACCAGCCCCGAGACAGTCATCAAATACATGACAGACGGGATGCTGCTCCGGGAGTGCCTGATCGACCCTGACCTCACCCAGTATGCTATCATAATGTTGGATGAGGCGCACGAGAGGACCATTCACACCGACGTGCTTTTTGGGTTGTTGAAAAAGGTAACCAGGAGCTCTGTAGTGGCCCTTCTGCCTGTTGGAATCTCAGTTCTGGGAATCAGATTTGAGTATCTGTGCCTTTCAGGTAGTGTTTTCTAGTAAGCTGTACCCCATTTCCCTTTAGACAGTTCAGAAACGGCAGGACATGAAGCTGATTGTCACTTCAGCCACCCTGGATGCAGTGAAGTTTTCTCAGTACTTCTACGAAGCTCCCATTTTCACCATCCCAGGTCGAACATACCCGGTAGAAATACTGTACACAAAGGAACCCGAGACAGATTACCTGGATGCCAGCCTGATCACTGTCATGCAGATCCACTTGACAGAGCCGCCAGGTAAGGGGGAAGAGCAGTTTTTCCCTCCCAGGCCAAGATTCCTAGTATAGGTCTCTTTTTTGCTAATCTGTTGAAAATGCCTCTTAAATTCTTGTTATCTCTATTAATTCAGGTTTGCATAGTGAATTGGTGGTGGTGAAAATATAGATAATGATATTTAGATAGGATTTAAATGCCCCTGTTTAAGCATGAACAGATGACTACTTTTGTATAATGTTATATAAACAAACTTCTCTTCACTTAGAGATCAGAATATGGATGTGTATTTTCTGTTATTTGAAATTCTGTTTTGTGTGTGTGCATGTGCGTGTGTGTGCGTGTGCATGTGTGTGCATGTGCGCACACGCACACCTCACTGTCACCCAGGGTGTAGCGGCACACTCATGGCCATCACGGCCTCAACCTGATGGGATCAGGTGATCCTTCCACCTCAGCCTTCCAAGTAGCTGGAACTACAGATGCACACCACCATGCCCAGCTAATTTTTTGATTTATTGAGGAGATGAGGTCTTGCCAAGTTGCCCAGGCTGGTTTCAAACCCTGGGCTCAGGCAATCCTCTTGCCTCCACCTCCTACAGTGCTGGGATTACAGGTGTGAGCCACTGCGCCTGTCTGAAGTTCTGTTACCATCACTACAGTTTCTGTATAGAACACACACTCACATACACACACACACACACACACACACACACACACACAAAATTAGAAAGTGTACTAGCACTCTCTTCTCCAAATAGGTGATATCCTGGTCTTCCTGACTGGTCAGGAAGAGATCGATACTGCTTGCGAGATCCTCTATGAAAGAATGAAATCCCTAGGACCTGACGTGCCCGAGTTGATCATCCTCCCAGTGTACTCTGCTCTTCCCAGTGAGATGCAGACCCGAATCTTTGACCCAGCTCCGCCAGGCAGCAGAAAGGTAACACTGGGCAAAAATGAAGCCCCCATGTTCCCTGAAACCATGCAGCCTGCCGTAGTAAGGATTGCTCAGGGTGGATGCAAGTCTTGTGTGTTAGGTTTTAGAGACTGGTCCAGTTTGTTTAGGAATGAGGGTCTAGTATGTGACCTGTATTCGTCTTCCCCCTACTTCATTTGACAGATATGTGATGAGCCTCTACCAGGCTATGAGCTAGACACCAGGGCTGCAGTATGAGGACAAGTGTGAGGATAGGGCTCTATCCACTGTGGGCATCCACCAACTAGCAGGCCTTCAGTATGAAGTATGAAAGTGCTCCTGGTGGTTACCCAGAGTGGGAGCCCTGGCCCAGCCTTCTCAGAGGAAGTCCTGAACATGAAAGACAGGGCACAGGCATTCCAAGGATGCAGAACCACCTGTGATGTCCTGGAGGCAAGCACTGGGTCCAGTTCAGGAGAAGGTGCAGTTTCAGTAGTGAGAGCTGTGTGTGACTGTGTGCAGGAGACTGCAGGATAGAGACAGATGGATTTCTGTTAACAACAGCTTTATTGAAATATAATTTACAAGCCAGGCTTGGTGGCTCAGCCTGTAATCCCACGCCTTTGGGAGGCTGAGGTGAGTGGATTGCCTGAGCCCGCAGGTTCGAGACCCGCCTGGGCAGCAAGACCTCATCTCTACAAAAAATCAGCCGGGCATGGTAGCGCATGCCTGTAATTCCGGCTACTTGGAAGGCTGGGGGGGGAAGGATCGCCAGAGCCCAGCAAGTCGAGGCTGCGATGGCCGGGAGCGGCCACTGCACTTCAGTCTGGGCGACAGAGTGAGACTCCAACTCGGAAAAAAAAAAAAGAAATATAATTTACATGCCACACCATTTACCCTTTTTAAGTGTACAGTTCAGTGGCTCTTAATTTACTCTTGTCCCTCAATTTGTGTGGGGATTGGTGCTAGAGCCCACCCCTCTCCCCAGTATCTAAAGATGCTCAAAGTCCTTGATATGGAACGACATGGTATTTGCATTTGCATGTAACCGGCACACGTGCTCCCATATGGTACTATAAGCAAACTCTAGATTACTTATAATACCTAGTACAACAAAAGTGTTGCATAAGTAGTTGTTACAGCGTATTTTTCATTTGTATTATTTTTTATTGTTGTATTATTATTTTTATTTTTTGCAAATACTTTTTATCTGCTGTTGGTTGAGTACACAGATACGGAACCAGCAGGTACAGAAGGCTGGCTGTGTTCACAATTGTGCAGCCATCACCACAGTTGATTTTGGAACAGTTTTATCACCCCAAAAAGAAACCCCGTACCCTTTAGCAGTTACCCACCACTAGCACCCTGTTCAGCCCCTGGAAGCCACTAATCTCTGCTTTACATCTCTGACTTTGCCTATTCTAGACATTTCTTTTTTTTTATTGTAAACACGAGTTCTTGCCAGGTTGCCCTCGCTGGTCTCGAACCTGCAGGCTTAGGCAGTCCATTCGCTTTGGTCTCCCAAAATACTGGGATTACAGGCTGAGCCACCAAGCCCGGCCTATTCTAGACATTTCATGTAAGTAAGGTCATATCACTTTGTGACTGACTTATCTTGCTTAGCATGTTTTCAGAGTTTATCCACACTGTGTATGTATTGATACTTCATTTTTTTATGCCAAAGACTGTTCTGTTGTGTGGCTGCACCACATTTTGTTCATTCATTCATCAGTTGATAGACATTGGGTTGTTTCCACTTGGGGCTATGGTCAATAAGGCTGCTTTGAACTTTTTCGTACAAGTGTTTGTGTGGACATGTGTTTCATTTCTCTTCGATGTATACTTAGGAGCAGAAGACAGGTGGGCTTGAGTAGCGTTAAAGAGTTAAAATGAGCAAGATGTGGTGGCTGCTGAAAAAGAAGATGGGTGAGGGAAAAGTCAGGCTGACTCAGGTTTCTGGTTTGGGCAGCTGGATGGAAGATGGAGCTGAGGAGAGAATCACGGGAGGAGGAGCAGGCTTTGGGGGTAGGTGGTGAATTCTTCCCTGCTCTCTTCCTCATAGCTGGACTTTTTTTTTTTTTTTTTTTTTTTTTGAGTAGGAGTCTCATCTGTCACCCAGGCTGGAGTGCAGTGGCATGCTCACGGCCACCGCACCCTGGATCTGCTGGGTTCAGGCGATCTTTCCGCCTCAACCTTCCAAGTTGCTGGAACTACAGGCACACACCATCACGCCTGGCTAATTTTTTCATTTATTGTAGAGATGAAGTCTCACCAAGTTGCCCAGGCTGGTCTCGAACTCATGGGGTCAGGCAATTCTCTTCCCTTGGCCTCCCAAAGTACTGGGATTATAGGCATGAGCCACCATGCCTGACCAACTGAACTTCTTTCTAAGCAGGGCTACTGCAGCTCTAGGGGCAGGTAGAAGCCTTTCAGGACCAGTAAGATGCTGGCATGATATACATTGTTTTGGTGCCTCCTAGCAGTGGTTTTTCTAAGTAATTGCGTTTTATTTTTATTTTGTTTTTTTTTGAGTTGGAGTCTCACTCTGTTGCCCAGACTAGAGTGCAGTGGCTGCTCCCGGCCACTGCAGCTTTGATCTGCTGGGCTCCGGCGATCCTTCCACCTCAGCCTTCCAAGTAGCTGGAATTATAGGTGCGCGCTACCATGCCCGACTAATTTTTTGATTTATTGTAGAGATGAGGTCTCAACAAGTTGCCCAGGTGGGTCTCGAACCCGCGTGCTCAGGCAATCCACTCACCTCAGCCTCCCAAGGCGCGGGATTATAGGCTGAGCCACTAAGCCCGGCTAGCAATTATGTTTTATTAGCTGAATCTCTGGGTGAAGAACAGTGGCAGTGCCAGGGTGAGACTAATGATCTTCCAGAGCACACAGAATGCTACACACACAAGCCATGAAATTCCTCTGTCACTCATGGTTCATTATGATCAGAAAAAAACAATCTCTCTCTTGCTCCACGTACACATTCCACAGAAACGAATGACCCATTTTGCAGTCCAGATGTCTCGGTAGGGGAAAGAAAGATCTCATTTTGCACTGGTACATGTGATGCCAGGAAGTAGCTGCTTTCCCAGGGTGCTAGAAAATTAAAATTGTAGTAATCAACACTGGATCTAAAAAGTGAGCTATGCAGCCATTTTCGCCAAATGAAACTGGCTTTGATTGACCTTAGCTTTGTCCTATTCCACTTCACCTCTCAGGTGCCACCCCCCTCTAGCCTAATCCTTAAGATGGTGGCACCTCCCCTTCAGCCTGTTGGAGGCCGAGCTGGAAGTGTCATTTTCACCATCTAGAGAGGAGACAGCCGCACCCTCTTTTGGGAGGATGTCTGGGTTCCGAAGACCCATTTCCTGCCTCAATTTTAAGAATGGGGCGCTCACTCCAGTTGTGCCCAACTCGCCTACAGGTTGTGATTGCCACCAACATCGCAGAGACATCACTGACTATCGATGGCATCTACTATGTGGTGGACCCTGGGTTCGTAAAGCAGAAGGTGTACAATTCCAAGACGGGGATTGACCAGCTTGTGGTTACGCCTATTTCTCAGGTATGGCAGCTTCTACCAGCAGCTTCCTGGAAATCTTGGGTAGGGCCTTTCTGAAATTGTGTGGTTCTGGAATTGAACTTTAGTGTTTTCAAAGATGAACTTTTTTTTTCTTTGAATTGGGATCTCTCACTCTGTCACCCAGGCTGGAGTGCAGTGTCACATTCACAGCCACCACATCCTTGACCTGCTGGGCTCAGGTGATCCTTCCGCCTCAACCTTCCAAGTAGTTGGAACTACAGGCATGCACCACCATGCCTGGCTAATTTTTTGATTTATTGTAGAGATGAGATCTCATCAAGTTGTGCCCAGGCTAGTCTTGAACCCATGGGGTCAGACAATACTCTCATCTCACACTCCCAAAGTGCTGGGATTATAGGCGTGAGCTGCTGTGCCTGGCCAAGAACATATTTTCTAAAGTACTATATTTAGCCATGATATGTGAGATAGTAATACATGAAATGGTTATACATTTCTTTGGTAATTATGGAATAATTTTCTGCCTAAATTATACTGTATTTTATTTTATTTTTACTTTTTGAGTTGAGGTCTCATTCTGTCACCCAGGCTGGAGTGTAGTGGCACAATCATGGCTCACTGCAGCCTCACAATAACTCCTGGGCTCAAGAAGTCCTCTCGCCGCAACCTCCAAGTATCCGGAACTACAGGTGCATGTCACTGTGCCTGACTAATTTGTTAATTTTGTGTAGAGACAAGGTTTTGCTATGTTGCCTAAGCTGATCTTGAACTCTTGGGCTTAAGCAATCCTTCTGCCTCCCAGATTGCCAGGATTACAGGCTTGAGCCGATGTGCCTAGCCTACCTGAATTATATTTAAAATGAGTAACGTGATCACCTTTTTGAGGGCAGTTTGTCAACAGTGTGCCCAAAATTTTCAAGTTCATCTCTAACCTAATTGCTCCACTTACAGTAATATATCTGAAAGTTAGAAATGATTGAACACATATGCTAAAGTAATGGAGAAGGATGTTCATTGAATCATTGTTTATATCAGAAAAGCTGAAAAAATTCTAAATGCACTCCAAAGGAGAAGGAATGTAATAAAATATGGAATATCCATGCCAGAGAATGTTGGTGACGTTAACATGATAGTGTTTATATCTATATTTAATGACATAGGCATGCAACTGTGGTATTTTATTTGAAAAAAAGTGAGCCTGCAGACCAGCATGAATGATATAATCCAATTTTTGTTTAAAGATAGGTGGTGTGGGCCGGGCTCAGTGGCTCAGCCTGTAATCCCACACCTTTGGGAAGCTGAGGTGAGTGGATTGTCTGAGCCCGCGGGTTCGAGACCCGCCTGGGCAACTTGGCGAGACCTCATCTCTACAATAAATCAAAAAAATCAGCCAGGCGTGGTAGCGTGCGCCTGTAATTCCGGCTACTCAGAAGGCTGAGACGGAAGGATCGCTGGAGCCCAGCAAGTGAGGCTGCGGTGGCCGGGAGCGGCCACTGCACTCCAGTCTGGGCGACAGAGTGAGACTCCAACTCAAAAAAAAAAAAATAGGTGGTGTGTGTTTCTGCAGTGTGTGTGAGCGAGGTGTGCCCGAGGCTGAGAATCACAGTCTAAGTGTCAGCCAGGGTTATTTCTGGGCTGTGCTGCGGGCGAGGTGCCAGTTTTCCTTTATACTTTCATTTACTGTCTTAATCTTTCATAGCAGTATGTGTTACTTTTGTTATCTGTAAAAACCATAGGCTCAAGCCGGGCATGGTGGCTCAAAGCCAGGTGCAGTGGCTCAAGCCTATAATCCCAGCACTTTGGGAGGCATGAGCGAGAGGATTGGCTGAGCCCACGGGTTCAAGACCAGCTTGGGAAATTTGGTGAGATCTCATCTCTACAAAAAATCAAAAAATTAGCCTGTCGTGGTAGCAGTGCTTATAGTTCCAGGTACTTGGAAGGCTGAGGCAGAAGGATTGCCTGAACCCAGCAGGTCGAGGCCGCAGTGGCTGTGAGCGTGCCACTGCACTCCAGTCCAGCCTGGGCGACAGAGTGAGACTCCAGCTCAAAAACAAACAAACAAAAACCCATAGACTGCTTATTTTGAAACTTGAATCGTAATAGAAGCTAATAATTGCAGGGTGCTTACCAAGCACCGGGCACTATCCTAGATACTTGACATACATTGACTCAGTACTTTCTCACATTGATCCTGCGTGGTACATACTATTATCCTCATTCCACAGAAGAGGAGCTTGGGGCACAGAAGGGTTCAGTGACTTTCCTGACATCACATAGCTGGTGGAGCCAGGATTTGAACCTGGGTGGTCTGGCTCCAGCTTGTGTGCTCTGCACCACTTCCCAGAACAGTGTGTGACACGCACAGTGATCAGAAACTTAGTTACACATGCCTGTCCTACTTTGGAGAGAGACATCTGTAGAACTTGCCATGGTGGGTGCCTGCCGCCTGGATTCCTGTGGTTAGTTGTCCCTTCATGTCCCATCCTTTCGTTTGTCAACAGGACAAACCAAATTGTTTATATCAGGAAACCTGAAAAAATTCTAAATGCACTCCAGAGGAAAAGGAGTTTAATAAAATATGGTATATCCATGCCAGAGAATGTTGGTGACATTAACATGGTAGTGTTCATATCTATATTTAATGATATAAGCATGCAACTGTGGTATTTTATTTGAAAAAAGTGAGCCTGCAAAACAGCATGAATGATATAATCCAATTTTTGTTTAAAAATAGATGGTGTGTGTTTTTGCATAGTGTGTGTGAGCGAGGTGTGCCCGAGACTGAGAGCCACAGTCTAAGTATATGGAACCACAGGTACATGCCACTATGCCCAGCTAATTTTTATTTATTTATTGTAGAGAAACAGTCTTGCCAGGTTGCCCAGGGTAGTCTCGAACCCCTGGGCTCAGGCAGTCCTCTTGCTTCCGCCTCCCAAAGTGCTGAGATTACAGGCGTGAGTCACCGTGCCCGATCGCAAACCTGATCTTTGAAATGGCTGCAGAGTCATCGTTGATATGATGAACATAGTTTATTTAGGTCATCTACATTTTGGGTCATGACCGTGGAGATGGTTGTTTTGTCTTCTTTTCCTTTTGCTTTGGCTTGGAGCTGGCATAGTGATTTGTAAATCCTGGTACTGTTTATAACAACAGATGGTTTTGTTAGAAAATGGCCTTCTTCAGATTGCTGTGCACTGTTTCCTAGCAACCTACAGCTGAACTGCATTTTTTAATATTAAAAAAATTAGTGCTCTTTTCCCCATCTCTAGTACAGAAGTCATATTACATTATTTTTGGAAAATAAGAGAAAAAACTTAAATACCCATAGTTTTTTTTTTTTTGAGTTGGTGTCTCACTCTGTCCCCCAGACTGGAGTGCAGTGGCCACTCCTGGCCACCGCATCCTCCACCTGCTGGGCTCCGGCGATCCTTCCGCCTCAGCCTTCTGAGTAGCCGGAATTACAGGCATGCGTTACCATGCCCGGCTGATTTTTTGATTTATTGTAAAGATGAGGTCTTGCCAAGTTGCCCAGGCAGGTCTCGAACCCACGGGGTCAGGCAATCTACTCACCTCAGCCACCCAAAGCGCGGGATTACAGGCTGAGCCACCGAGCCCGGCTACCTGTAGTTCTATTACTGCCACTGTCATCATTATGTTATCTTTCTCTCCAGTCTTTTCTCATCTTTGTGTCTTTCATGGTTGCAATTTTAGTAGTCAAGTAAGAATGCGGTTTTGTGTATTTTTTAAGTATTTAATCTTTTTTTTTGAGCCAGAGTCTCACTCTACCGCCCAGGCTGGAGGCGGGAGTGCATGGCACGCTCACGGCCACCACAGCCTCGACCCGCTGGGCTCAGGCAGTCCACTCACCTCGGCCTCCCAAAGTGCTGAGATTACAGGCTGAGCCACCAAGCCCGGCCTAATCTTTCTATTATAATAATTCATATTCAATGTTTAGTAAAATCTAAAGTTGAATTCACCTGCAGACCTACCAGCAGAGTTAGCCACTGTTACCACTTAAGGGTATTTTTTTTCGCTAGTCATTTCCTTCTGGTAGTTTACATATAAAGACTTTTACAAAATTAGTATTACATCATTTGGTAACTTGCTTTTTTCAAGTAAGGTGAATGAACCTGATTTTTATTTTTATTTATTTTTGAGTCGGATTCTCATTCTGTCGCCCAGGCTGGAGTGCAGTGACATGCTCATGGCACCACAGCCTCAACCTGCTGGGGGCTCAGGTGATCCTTCCACCTCAGCCTTCCATGTATTGGAACTACAGGTACATGCCACTATGTCTGGCTAATTTTTATTTGTTTATTGTAGAGACAAGGTCTTGCCAAGTTGCCCAGGCTAGTCTTGAAACCTTGGGCTCAGGCAGTCCTTTGGCTTCCGCCTCCCAAAGTGCTGGGATTACAGGCGTGAGTCACCATGCCCGATCGCAAAATGACTTTGCGATCTTTGAAATGACTGCAGAGTCATCGTTGACATGATGAACATAGTTTATTTAGGTCACCTACATTTTGGGTCATGACCGTGGAGATGGTTGTTTTGTCTTCTTTTCTTATGCTTTCTATTTGATACTGTGCCACACTGTTTGGGGTGTGTTTCTGAGATCTCTGTAACCTTCCCCATCCACCCTGTTGTATTTGCTCCTTGACTGACTCCCCTTGAAGTGTTGAGTATGGAGGGAGGTGACAAGAGCATTGTTAGTCTTGGAAATGGTCCTAACAGGAGTGAAATAAGCCCCATTTCTGGTTTTGCCAAATGCTAAAGACCCCCTTTGGCAGATTTCCTGGATAACGTGTTAAGTAGCGTTTAACAGGCGCATTCCTTTTCTGTGCTCACTCTCTAGGCTCAGGCAAAGCAGCGAGCTGGCCGAGCAGGGCGAACAGGCCCAGGAAAGTGCTACAGGCTGTACACAGAGCGCGCCTACCGGGACGAGATGCTCACCACCAACGTGCCAGAGATCCAGAGAACCAACTTGGCGAGCACGGTGCTGTCGCTCAAGGTAGCCATCACTGTCTTGTTAGGATACCTTGGCAGAGCAGGCCAGGCCTATGGCCTCAGTAGATGAATCTCAGTTTTATGAACCTTCTTGAATACTTCAGTAACTTCATGGAGCTTGTCCTTTTGAGGGAAATGCAAATGGCTGTGATAACAACCTCTCTCGGCGGGTCTGAGGCTAAGCTGGTGTGTCTGCTGTGAACATACATTTTTTTCTTACTATAATAACCATCAGGATATTTGGTTGTAAAAGGTTCTGATTAGTTTTGTTGTTGTGTTTTTGAATCGGAGTCTCACTCTGTCACCTAGGATAGAGTACGGTGGTACTTCCTCGCAATCACAGTTCACCATAGCCTTGACCTCCTGGGCTCAGGTGATCCTCCTACCTCAACCTCCTAGGTAGGTGGGACAACAGGCGCAGGCCACCATGCCCAACTAATTTTTAAAATTTTTTTGTAAAGGTGAGGTCTCACTATGTTGCCCAGGCTGGTCTCCAACTCATGGGCTCAAGCGGTCAGCTGGGATTATAGGCATGAGCCACCATGCCTGGCCTAGGAGCATTTTCTAAAAGAAAATTAGAAAAATATAATCGGTGCCAAACCGGACAAACACACTTAACCTCAGCCACTCTAGTGTTCGTATCCAGTTCTGCTCTTTAGAAGGGGTGGAGGCTCCTGTCCAGAAACTTCGCAAGGGAACTATCAGTGCAGATTTCACACTGGTCCTCTGGGGCTTTGTTTCCTTGTGAACCACTGCTCTTCCTCTCAGTCCCCCGTGAGGACTTCACTTGCTCTTGGCAGGAGGAGCTGCGTGAGTAATTGCCCAGCTGATGGCATTTCTCCCAACACAGATGCTGCCCTGGAGCCCTGGCACTTTCTGGTGCAGAGTGCTCGGTTGTCATGTATTATTCATTCCCTGTAAGAGGCAAAACAGCGCTCTAGACAGAGCCTGCCCTGGTCTCTGGAGTGCCAGCATCTGTGGCTTAGACGTCACTCCGAGCTGTGCAGCCTTGGGCAGGTTGAGCTTCTCTGCCCTCTGCTCTGTGCTCTCGTCTCTAAAAGGAGGCTGCTAACAGTTTCTGTTGCAGAGGAGTGAGAGATGCAGGTAAAGGCACTGGGCCCCACGCTTGCTGATTGCTAACATAACTCCTCATTGTTATTATTCATGCAGTAAGCATTTATTTTGAACACCTGCTGTGTTTATGGTCACGATCACTTTATGAGAAAGAAAGAGAAAGCTTAGGGCCTTCCACATCGCCCTTTACATGTGCTTGGGTAGTGCATCATTCAGGCCTTTTATTCATATTTGCTACCAAATGTATTGAACACCTGCCATGTGCCAGGCTCGGAGGTGGCACTGTGTTGTGGTTTTGTGAACATGGTTCTCACCCCTTGTAGACTCTGAGAGCAGAGGCCGTGCCTTAATTTTTTTCACGTCCCTCCCACGCAACATGGAACAGGAACAAGGCATCTCACAGAGGGATAGTGGGAATGACGTGTGCAAAAGATAGGACAGGCTGGTATAAATCTTTTTTAAAAATTATTATTGCCAGGCTCGATGGCTCAGCCTGTACTCCCAGCACTTTGGGAGGCTGAGGTAAGTGGGTTGTCTGAGCTTGCGGGTTTGAGACCAGCCTGGGCTACTTGGCTTAGCCTATAATTCCAGCATTTTGGGAGGCCGAGGTGAGTGGATTGTCCAGGCCTGCGGGTTCAAGACTAGCCTGGGCTATTTGGCTCAGCCTGTAATCCCAGCACTTTGGGAGGCCAAGGTGAGTGGATTCTCTGAGCCTGCAGGTTTGAGACCAACCTAGACGACTTGGCAAGACCTCATCACTACAATAAATCAAAAATTAGCCACGCGTGGTAGCGCGTGCCTGTAGTTCCAGCTACTTGGAAGGCTGAGGTGGAAGGATTGCTGGAGCCCAGCAGGTTGACACTGGGGTGGCC